GAGAGAGATTACCTTTCTCAAGATGATTATTGAGTTTAATGGCAGCTAGAGGCTGTTGCCAACCACACAAGCGAGGTATTATTGAAAGCTTTCTTGATTGGGTGCTTGCTTCTACTTGATGTCTAACTTGCCCTTCAATTGCAGGGACTATTGGCGTGGATATTCTATTTTCCAGATAATGTTAGGAGTTTTGTGATAAGTCTTAGAGATATTTGATACTCCTATTGTTAAGGAAGTTGTGAAACGAGATAAGGCCAAAAGAGCTATCTCTCTTGTTGTATAAATACTTTGGCTTCACCATTCAATGAAATCAAGTACTTTCGATATCAAAATTTACATGGTATCAGAGCAGAGATCCTTTAAACTCTGACTCATAAAATAATTCGTGTATTCCTAGAATTAAAAGAAACACGACATGGGAGATTCACTAGTTGTGAAGAAAGATGAGGCAGTAATTCCCTCACCTTATGCATTGTACGGCTCAGATAATCCTGGAGCTGTAATTACCTCTGTTTTGTTAAACGGAGAGAATTATAATGAGTGGTCATCGGAGATGTTGAATGCACTCCAGGCCAAAAGAAAATTGGGATTTATCAAGGGCACCTTGAAGAAACCTGACGCAGAGAGCGCCGACCTAGAAAATTGGTTGACCGTGAACTCGATGATTGTTGGATGGATCCGAGCTTCCATTGAACCAAAGGTGCGATCGACGGTAACATATATTACGGACGCACATCAGCTGTGGGAAGATCTCAAGCAGAGATTCTCCGTAGGGAATACAGTTCGTGTTCATCAACTTAAAGCACAACTTGCATCGTGTCGACAGGAAGGACAGTCCGTGTTGGAGTATTTCGGAAAACTGTCTGCACTTTGGGAAGAGTTACAGGTGTATCAACCTGTTCATGTTTGCTCCTGTGGAGCAGCTGCGGCGATAGCCAAAGAAAGAGAGAATGAAAGGATTCATCAGTTTGTGATGGGATTGGATGACTCGCGTTTTGGTAGCATGTGTACAAACGTGATTGGTCTTGATCCTTTGCCATCACTCGGAGAAATCTACAACAAGATGATACGAGAAGAACAGAGACTTGCATCATCACGATCTCGTGAACAAAAGGAGGAAGCTGTCGGGTTCATGGCCAGACAAAACGCTTCAACAACAACACATAAGACTGATAATCAAAACAAAGTGGAGAATACTATTCTGAGATCTCGTATGTTGTGCTCTCACTGTGGCAAAATAGGGCATGATAAACGAGATTGTTGGCAGATTGTTGGATTTCCTGAATGGTTTACGGAACGTAATGGCGGTCGTGGACAAAGTAGTTGTTCTAGAGGAAGAGGAGGTCGCGGCAATGGAGGTCGTGGCCGTGGCCAAGCAAGTAATGCTCATGCAACTAGTTCCAACTCTTCAAGTTTCACAGAGTTCACACCAGATCAGTTAAGGGCACTCAGTCAGCTGCTTCAGGATAAGGCAAATTCTCCGACATCCGACAAGCTCTCTGGTAAGAAACTCTACGGTGATGTGATTCTCGATACCGGTGCGTCTCACCACATGACAGGGGAAAGATCCTTGTTGACCAATATCGAGATCATATCACCTTGTTCTGTTGCTTTTGCCGATGGAAACAAAACGCTTGCAGTACAAATGGGTTCATTATACTTATCTGCAAAGCTTACACTGCATAAAGTCTTATATGTACCAGACTTAAATTGCACCTTAATCTCGGTTGCAAAACTCTTAAAACAGACAAATTGCTTGGCAATGTTTACTGACACAATTTGTGTGATACAGGACCGTTTCTCGAGGACTTTGATTGGAGCCGGTGAGGAGCGTGATGGTGTGTATTACTTCATGGATATCGTCTCAGCAAAGGGTCATCGAGCTTCTCTCAGTTCAGATCAAGCTTTGTGGCATCGGCGTTTGGGACATCCATCTTTTCATGTGCTTTCTGATTTGTCTTTTGTTTCATCTAAATCGGCTGGCTCCGGTCCTTGTGACACTTGTTTTAGAGCCAAGCAAACTCGTGAGATTTTTTATGATAGTATCAATAAAACAACAGAATGTTTTTCACTTATACATGTAGACGTTTGGGGTCCATACAGAATTCCTTCGTCTTGTGGAGCTGTGTATTTCCTAACCATTGTGGATGACTTCTCACGAGCAGTCTGGACATATCTTCTTTTAGAAAAATCAGAGGTTCAAACTGTTCTTAAGAGGTTCATTGCGTATGCAGATAAGCAATTTCAGAAGCCAGTTCGTATGGTGCGTAGTGACAACGGAACTGAATTTATGGTACTCACCTCGTTCTTCAAGGAGCTCGGGATAATACATCAAACGTCTTGCGTTGGGACACCTCAACAGAATGGCAGGGTCGAGAGAAAACATAGACACATTTTGAATGTCTCTCGAGCTCTCATGTTCCAAGCAAGTCTTCCTGTTAAATTTTGGGGAGAAGCGGTGTTGACTGCAGCTCATTTAATAAATCGAACACCAACAGCTATTCATCATGGGCGTACTCCTTACGAAGTTCTTCATGGTGTTAAGCCAGAGTATAAAACATTGAGGGTTTTTGGATCAGCTTGTTACACTCATAGAGCTTCTCGAGATAAAGACAAGTTTGGCCAGCGAAGTAGATTATGTGTGTTCTTGGGATATCCTTTTGGAAAGAAGGGTTGGAAGGTTTATGATATCGAACGCAATGAGTTTGTGATATCTCGGGATGTAATTTTTCGGGAAGATGTTTTCCCCTTCGCAGAGCCTAAGTTAACTCCATCTCTCAAGCCAAATTCAGTACCATGTGATGATGATTGGTTGCATTTGCCGTCTGACGACAGGGGGAGTAACAAGATAGCTTCTCCGGTCACCCCTGAAGCAGAACTGCAACCAAGTGTGACAGAAACAGAGCAACTTCCTGCTCAAGAAAACGTTTCTGGTACTGAAACAGAACCGGCTACTCCAACACCGATTCCGCCTTCTCCAACTGAAACAATTATTGAACAACAACCAACACAGACATCTGATGCTTCACCAACGCAGCAAGTAGTTACAGAACCGCTTGGCAGAGGTTTGCGAGAAAAGAATAAGCCTGCTGCTTTACAAGACTACTACCTCTATAATGTCACCACAACTGCTGATAGTAATACACATCTCACGCCCTTGCCACCTCCATCCTCGAACGGTTCAGGTAAATCACTGTATCCCTTGTCTGATTACATCACTGATAAGCAGTTTTCTCCTAGTCATCGTGCTTTTTTAGCACACATTACCAGCAATACAGAACCCAAGAATTTCAAAGAAGCGATGCAGTTGAAAGTATGGAAAGACTCAGTGGGGAAAGAAATTGTTGCTCTAGAAGATAATCACACATGGGACATCACAGAATTACCACCTGGAAAAGAAGCAATCGGTTGTCTTTGGGTTTTCAGAATCAAATATAACGCTGATGGAACAGTTGAGCGCTATAAATCTCGCCTAGTCGTTAACGGAAAGAGTCAGGTCGAAGGAGAAGACTATAATGAAACTTTTGCTCCTGTTATCAAGATGACCACAGTTCGATCTCTACTACGGTTAGCTGCAGCACGTAACTGGGAAGTATATCAAATGGACGTTCATAACGCCTTTCTTCATGGTGATTTAGAAGAGGAAGTCTATATGAAATTGCCCCCTGGATTTCGGCATACTCACCCCAACAAAGTGTGTAGACTTAGCAAGTCACTTTATGGCTTGAAACAAGCTCCGAGATGCTGGTTCAAGAAACTCTCTGATGCATTGCTCAGGTTCGGTTTCGTGCAGTCTCGAGAAGATCACTCTCTGTTTTCGCTTTCACGCAGAGGTGTTGAGTTGCGAGTTCTTGTTTACGTAGATGATTTGTTAATTTGTGGAAGCAATTCTCACATGATCAGGCGTTTCAAGGAATATCTAAGCAAGTGTTTTGCCATGAAAGATCTTGGAAAGCTGAAGTATTTCCTTGGGATTGAAGTCATTCGAGGATCTGAGGGCTTCTTTCTTTCGCAAAGGAAGTACAATCTTGACATCATAGCTGACACTGGGAATCTTGGCTCTAAGCCAGCATTGACACCATTGGAGCAAAATCATAAGTTGGCTGAATCGGAGACACCTTTACTCGATGATCCTAAGAAGTACCGAAGACTCATGGGGCGACTTATTTATCTTCTCAACACTCGCCCTGATCTTTGCTATTCAATACATATACTTGCTCAGTTCATGAAGGCTCCTCGCGTTGCTCACTGGGAAGCTGCGCTCCGTGTTGTTCACTTCTTAAAAGGAACACCTGGCCAGGGGATTCTTCTCAGGTCTGATCATGATCTTACACTTACAATTTATTGTGATGCAGATTGGGGAGCATGTCCCTTGTCTCGACGATCTTTAAGCGCGTTCGTGGTTATGTTTGGTGGTTCTCCTATTTCATGGAAAACAAAGAAGCAAAAGACAGTATCTCATTCCTCAGCTGAAGCTGAATACCGGTCAATGGCTGCTGTACTCCGTGAAATCAAATGGGTTCGACGCTTGCTGAAAGATCTTGGTGCTGAACAAAAGCTTCCTACACGTTTCTTCTGCGACAGTAAAGCTGCCATACACATAGCAGCAAATCCCGTCTTCCATGAACGTACGAAACACATTGAGTCCGATTGCCATTCAGTACGTGATGCAGTTAAAGATGGCACAATAGTTACTCAACACATTCGCACTGATTCTCAGATTGCAGATCTTTTAACCAAGGCGCTTGGTCGTGTTCCATTTCAGAGTCTAGTATCCAAGTTGGGGATTGTAAATCTACACTCTCCAACTTGAGGGGGAGTATTGGCGTGGATATTCTATTTTCCAGATAATGTTAGGAGTTTTGTGATAAGTCTTAGAGATATTTGATACTCCTATTGTTAAGGAAGTTGTGAAACGAGATAAGGCCAAAAGAGCTATCTCTCTTGTTGTATAAATACTTTGGCTTCCCCATTCAATGAAATCAAGTACTTTCGATATCAAAATCTACAGGGACCTTATTGATGAGGAGGTGGATGCCATTGCTACTGCTAGGTTCGATGCTTAAACTGGAGCTGTGATACGGAAGCTTAGCTTATTCTCTCATGGAACTACTATATCAGGTGAGAACAGGAAACAAATAAGTGTATCTCTTAGTGTGTAAATCAGATCTTATGCTGTAGACTAATGGACTTTGCTTTTAAAATGCTGTCTTGTGGTCTTTTCCTTGAATACCCTGACGCAGTTGTTTCAGATTGAATTGAGTTCTAACTTTCTTTCTTTCTTTTTTTTTTTTTTTTTGTTGAATAAATTCGATGTAGATGGATGGACATGACCAGAACGTGAATTTCAAGGTCATAATGGCAAACCAACAGGGCAGACACCCTTCATCCTGCCCTCTTATGTCCCTTGGAGACTTGATCGTAAAATTGAGTTCCTCCTTCCTGATAGACGTCAAAAGAGCCTTGTTTTCCAGGTTAGCTAACTACTACAAGTACTAGAGTGTTTAATTAACTATCAAAAGAATGTGATTGTGTGAAACCAATTGTTTTCTTAAGAGAAAGGGTGAAACCAATTGTTTTCTTAAGAGAAAGGGTTTAATGATCTTTAATTAAGCACATGACATTTAGGTTTGTCCCAGTTTCTATCTTATTGACTGTTTTTTCCTTGTGCACCTCCAAAATGAACCTCGGCGAAGAGGTTGACTTGGAAGACTATGTTCCACGGCCTGATAAAATTAGCGCTGCTGAGAGGTTAGGTTACTTTGCTTACTATTCTGTGGTTCCCATTAGCTATTGCCATGATATAACCTCTCCATTGTTTCTAATGATTTTCTGCGAAATGTGCACTTGAGATAATGCTTAAAATCCAACTTTGGCAGTAAGATAGTTTGATTTACTTTTATCTTGTACATGGAAACTGACCTTACATGTATTTGCATAGAAATCCTTACATTTGAGTTTTGTGCAGTCAAAGATGATAGATATTAAGTGACACACTAAATCAGGCATGTATCTATGAAGGCATCTAAGTTAATTTTTTTTCAAAATTCTGTTGTACTGGTACAAATATGTGGCAGGCAAGTCAACAATTCTTAGAATGCTATTCAGATACTTTGACACAGATTCGGGAACTGTACGTTTTTTTTTTTTTTTATTCATTTTTATAAGAGCTTCTTTTGGAAGCTTTGTTGCAACAAAAGTAAATCTTGCTGCAGAGAAATTCACTGAAGAAAAAGCTTGTGTCTACATAACATTTTGTTTTCATGTTGGTTAACAGTTGACGGCCAAGATATAAAGGAGGTGAGACTAGATAGCCTCCGAAGTTCCATAGGAGTTGTGCCACAAGATACTGTAAGTTGGTACTCACTATATTTTTTTTCTGTTTTGTCTACTTGTTGTCGTAAGCTTTTGCTTTAGAACTACTATGACCTGCGTTCATTGCTTTCTCCATTTCATCTCAGTGAAACCTGCTGTGCATACAAGACATTAAATGATTTTGTTTCACTTTTCTTCCCTCTTTTCTGTATCTATCATTGTTAGCTTTCTATTTATGTAGAACCCAAGAGTAACCTCTACTCCACTGCAGGTGCTCAATGGTGATACAATAATTCACAACATACATTATGGACGTCTTTCAGCTACAGAAGAAGAGGTACCAGCCACCTTATTCTCGATGCTTATGTGAAGCTCAGTATTAATAATCTTTATCCTTATTCTCGATGCAATTCAATGACAAAGTCAGTAATTTCCCTGATAAATATTCCACGGTTGTTGATGCTATATATGATATGTTTTAACTTGATCAGTATCTGCCTAGTGAGTCCAGTGGTAAGCTGCAATTTGCATGGTTGAGTAATTGCTTCTTCTCTGGGATTTTGAGGAACTAGAAACGATTTGTTAGAAACTAGAGGGAGAATAGAAACGATTGAATAAGGTGATTTTGTGGAACTGTAACAATCATATGAATTAAAAATACTACTAACCGAGTCTGAGAGAGGTTTTTTTAATATCTAAACTTTTTATGAGGAGTCACAATGAAGAGTGACCAGCTGTGATGTTATTTGCAGTTGAGTGGTGGAGAGAAACAAAGAATGGCACTTGCTCGAGCCTTCCTGAAATCCCCTGCGACTCTGTAAGTAGCTTTTTGCACAGAAGCAAGCATTGACTTAGCGTATGTGATTAAGTAGGTGTTGAGAGTCCTCCTCACATACACATAAGAAAATTTGACATGAGATTTGGAGATGGTTGTTGGTAAAACTGGCACAGGTTGTGTGTGTGATGAGGCAATGGGTGCGCAGGACAGCACAACAGAGTCAGAGGTACTTACCGCACTCAAAGCAGTGGCGAGTAACAGGACATCCATCTTCATTGCCCACAGGCTGACCACAGTGATGCAGTGAGATGAGATAGTTGTACTTTAAAACGGGAAGGTGGTGGAAGATACGCGCAGCTATGGACACAACAAAACAGCACTATGGATATGATTGATTGGAAGAGTGAACCCCAGATGCAAAAATAAAAGTGTAAAATGTTATGTATAGCTAATTGATTCGTGTACATTATGGATCATGTGTAGTTTATTTTGGAATCATAAATTCATAATAGTGATGAATGACAAGGTGTGGATGTTAATGAGAGAATTAACAATAACATAGGCAAGATTATTATTATCCAAAAACTAGAAAGCCATATAACCAAACTACAGAAACTAGTATAAATGATTCTATACGTTATTAGCTTTATGGTTCGCTATATTTATACTAGTATAGAATATATGCATGTATTTTTAAATGAGAAGTTCAACGATGGGATTTAACAGAAGAAAGCACATGCATGAACTATCTCACAAGTATTTTCAATTGAAATCAAAGTAGCAATCAAAATCCTAATACAACAAAAACAAAACTTCTTAGCAGAACGTGTCCAAACTCAACAAAAACAAAAGCTCAGGGCAGAACGTGTCATGTTTTCCTTCAGTGACCACTCCTGAGATCCTCGATTGTGGATGGCAGTAGTTCAAGGAGCTCACTTAGAGTCTGCTCTCTTCCAGCATCATGGTTCCATGGCTTGAGAGTCACTCCGGTTCTCCTGAACAACAGAATCTCAACCCATGCAGTCTTGATAGCATTGTAAAGAGAGGCACCATACTTGTCTTGGAGCTCTTCAAGGTCTGAGTTTTCTATGAGCCCATATAGTCCCTGAGCAGGGTAAAGCTCCCACTGTTCATCATTGATAAGACCTGTCCATAGTCTGTACAGATTAACAGCCTCTGCACTCATCTCCATTTCATCCCCAGCCTTTCCCTCCTTATCCCATGCTTCACGGCAAGCCTTGTGAAAGATAAATTCATCCAAGGATCCAGGGGTCCGTATAAGTTCTTCAAACGGATTGCTTCCGCATGGAGCATTGAGCTCGGGCAAAGCCTTGAAAGTAAACAAAATCAAACAACCAATCAAATATCTGTGTATATATATATTCAAGTTCTTTTGATTATCTAAATTACCTCTACCATTGTGAACTTTGCACTTAGAATCTCGTATTCCTTATAGAAGAGAGAATTCTCGAGACGCACAATCTTTCGTTCATAACGAACCCTCTTCAGCTCATAATCCATGATCCTCTGCTCATAGTCATCCATCTCCCGTTTCAAACCAACAAGCTTCTGTTCATGATCAGTCAGGTTCCTCTGCATCTCTTCAGCATGCATCAGTTGAAAATCAACGATTTTGCGCTCATACTCAACCAACCTCCGTTCCAATTCAACTACCTTGCGTTCATGATCAGCCATCTTCCTCTGGATCTCTTCAGAATTCATCTTCTTTCCTGAAAACAAAAAGAGGACGCAACGCAACAACTAAAGATCCATGACAATAGTTAATCGAGAAAGGAAAACAGCGAAACCCTAAAACTTACGTTACGTACTTCGGGCAAGAGAAAACTGGAGCCTGTCGAGACCAAAACCGTGAATCAAAGTTCCCTTTTCCAAACCCTAGAAAAGAGAAGAAGCATACGATCGTCGACGAGTAAGATGATGACTAGTTCGTCGAGAAAGGAAAAACCAACGAAACCAAACAACTTACGTTACTTCGGGAAAGTGAAAATTGTCGAGACCAAAACCGTGAATCAAAGGTCCCTAATCCAAACCCTAGAAAAGACAAGAGGCATACGATCGACGAGTAAGATGATGACTAGTTAATCGAGAAAGGAAAAACCAACGAAACCAAACAACTTACGTCGTGTACTCAGGAACACAGAACACCGTAGAACCGTGAAACAGAGATCTCGGTTGCAAACTCTACAAGAAAGACGAAATAGAAAGCTGTGTTTCTTGGAAACCAAGTGTGTGTAGAGTACGCAGGAGGAAATAAAATATGTCGTAGATGTGCTTATATTTATAGGTGCAAATGAATTGTTAATTTGTTATAGCATGCATTTTCTATAAAAAAAAAAGAAAAACTTACTTTTCGAAATACAAAAACTATAAGCTCTTTAATTAATGCGCTCTTGATCAAAACTAAGGGTTTGTTACGATTCTTTTTTATGACCGTTGTTTCCGTTTTCCGCTTCCACCTGCACTAAATATAACCCCATCCGTCGATTTTCAGTAATTTGAAAAAAACGGTACAATCAAATTTAGATAAAATCCTAAAAACCAGTTTAAGAAAAAACGGTACAATCAAATTAAATTTCTCCTTTATTCCATATTTGTATATTATTAAATTTACATGGCTTTTTGAAGATATATAAACAACGGCTGTTAGATGTATACATACTGGGCCTTAATTAGAAACATAAGGCCCATCTAAACCGGTATCAAAACCGTCGTTCTCTATATTATTTCGTCATTCACAATCGCACTTTTCTTCCTCTCTACTCCACAGATCTCTCTCTCACACACAACAATGGCCGCAGCGATGGTTCTCGACCCCAAATCATCTCCGCCGCTAATGGATCTCTCCACAACCGACGAAGAAGATCCCTACTCCCGTCTCAAATCCCTCGAACGGCAGCTAGAGTTCACCGACATCCAAGAGGAATACGTGAAAGACGAGCAAAAGAATCTCAAACGAGAGCTCTTACGCGCCCAAGAGGAGGTCAAGAGAATCCAATCGGTGCCCTTAGTGATTGGCCAGTTTATGGAGATGGTGGATCAGAACAACGGCATCGTTGGATCCACTACAGGATCCAATTACTATGTTCGGATTCTCAGTACAATCAATAGAGAAGACCTAAAGCCTTCTGCTTCCGTCGCCCTTCACCGTCACTCAAATGCCCTTGTTGATGTTTTGCCGCCTGAGGCTGATTCTAGCATCTCTCTTCTTAGTCAATCGGAGAAGCCTGACGTCTCTTACAATGTAAAGTCTCCTCCTTTTTGTAGATTAGGGTATTGGGTTTTTGGAAAGGAATTGGCTTTTTGTAGATTAGGGTTTGGGTGTTTGAAAAGGAATTGGCTTTTTTTTTGTAGATTAGGGTATTGGGTTTTTGAAAAGGAATTGGCTTTTTGTAGATTAGGGTATTGGGTGTTTGAAAAGGAATTGGCTTTTTTTTTGTAGATTAGGGTATTGGGTGTTTGAAAAGGAATTGGCTTTTTTTTTGTAGATTAGGGTATTGGGTTTTTGAAAAGGAATTGGCTTTTTTTTTGTAGATTAGGGTATTGGGTTTTTGAAAAGGAATTGACTTTTGTTTTGTTGTAGGATATTGGAGGATGTGATATTCAGAAACAGGAGATTCGAGAGGCTGTTGAGTTGCCATTGACTCACCACGAGCTTTACAAGCAGATTGGTATTGACCCACCACGAGGTGTGTTGCTTTATGGGCCTCCTGGTACTGGGAAGACTATGTTGGCTAAGGCTGTTGCTAATCACACAACCGCTGCTTTCATTAGGGTTGTTGGCTCTGAGTTTGTGCAGAAGTACCTCGGCGAGGTATTGAAAAGATCATAGCTTTGGTCATTGTTTGGGGATTTTTATATTGGTGATTGTACTTGATGCGTAACTTGCTCTTCTTCAATTGCAGGGACCTCGTATGGTTCGTGATGTCTTCCGTCTCGCTAAGGAGAATGCTCCAGCTATCATCTTTATTGATGAGGTAGATGCCATCGCTACTGCTAGGTTCGATGCTCAAACTGGAGCCGATAGGGAAGTTCAGCGTATTCTTATGGAACTACTTAATCAGGTGAGAACAGGAAACATATAAATGCATGTAATTATTTTGATATTCTCTTGGGTGTAGTTCAGATCTCATGATGTAGACTATGGACTTCAAGATTGTGGTCTATAAATGGCCTGATGCATTTGCTTAGATTGAATTGTGTTTTAACTTGTTCTATGGTATTCGATGTAGATGGATGGATTTGACCAGACCGTGAATGTCAAGGTCATAATGGCAACCAATAGAGCAGACACTCTTGATCCTGCTCTCTTACGTCCTGGAAGACTTGATCGTAAGATTGAGTTCCCCCTTCCTGATAGACGTCAAAAGAGGCTTGTTTTCCAGGTTAGTTAACTTCTGAAAGTAGTACTTGAAATGCTGAATTAGTTTGTGAAATAAATATTAAACCAAATGCTTCCTTAAAAGAAAGTGTTTACTGCTCTTTTTCTCTCTCATTAAATACATGTATGTTTGTCGCAGTTTTGTCTTATAGACTGTTTTTTCCTTGTGTAGGTATGCACCGCCAAGATGAACCTCAGTGATGAGGTTGACTTGGAAGACTATGTTTCACGCCCTGATAAAATTAGCGCTGCTGAGGTTAGTTTACTTTGCTTACTATTCTGTGTGTTCCCACTAGAGTTTGCTTTTGTCATGGTATATAGCCTCCATTGCTTCGGTGTCACCATCTAACGATTTTCTGTGAAATGTGCACTTGAGATAATGCTTAAAAAGATGGGTGATCTGATAGTAATTTACATGGAAACTGACTCTAATTTAAAATCCTTTCATAGTGTTGTGCAGCCAAGATTGATTGATATTAAGTAAGACATTAATTCAATATTCCGTTAAACAACGCAGATAGCAGCAATCTGCCAGGAAGCTGGAATGCATGCAGTGCGTAAGAACAGATATGTGATATTACCCAAGGATTTCGAGAAGGGTTACCGCTCAAATGTGAAGAAGCCAGACACGGACTTTGAGTTCTACAAGTGAGGAGGAAGCAGAGATGGGAATCAGATTATGCGTGTTGTTAAAATTCCAGTGTTTTTTTTTTTTGTTACTTGCCTGTTTAATGTATGAACTAAGTTGCATCTCTAATTTATGAAGCTCAAGTTTCACACATGTTTGTGTTTCTTTATTCTCTCAGCATTTACATGTCAACTTATAAGCAGACAGTGGCAGTTTAATATTGTGACACTAATTGCACCTCTGCGTTTTGGAGCTCAAGTTCACATTTTCTACATTTGCATTTCTTCTAACAAAAAAGTAGTGGATGTCTGAAATTTGTCAAAGGCATGGTCCAAGAGGAAGTACTAGGTGATAGTTGTCTTGTTTATGATTAAGAGACAAAAACACAATCCATGCACAACACACGAAATGCTTCTCATGCATCCATCATTTATTCCTACAATTATCCTCAGTAGGTAGGCAATTTTCTGTATTGGCTGTGATGAATGTGTCATGTCAACTTCTCTTCATTAGAAGAACGATTGTGAAAATGCAGCTTTGTCCAAACTCACAACGATTATCACGTTCTTCTCCACCATACGATGTAAGTGATCATATCTTATTACGCACCAGTCTCATCTTGCATTTTAGAGGCCCACTTACACCTCTTCTGAACCAAGGCACGAGCGGAGCACCAAAGCGAGACAGGCAGAATTTTACAGTTTTACTTTTTGTCTGCTCTTACAACCTTTTCGATTTTTTTTTTTAGATCTTACAACTTTTTAGATTCTTTAAGAAAATATCTACATTCTTTTTGTTTGAATATGAGTGATCTCCCTAAACTCTTTAGTCCACATCACAGTTCCACTAGATATGGACTCTTCTCCATTTTTTACGGAAGTTTTTAATTGAGAGGTATAGTATCATTATTCAAAAAAAAATTAATGAAATAAACTAAATAACTAAAGGTATTAGTTGATATGATTTTTACAGTAATTAATATAATCAGATTTGCAGACAAAAAAAAAATATATATATATATAATCAGATTTACAAGATTTGACTAAAACAAAAGAAAAAGATTTGCAAGATTGTATTCTCTATTTGCATTAAATATTTTTTTTCAAATTTTCTAAATTTAGCAGATTTAGTAGATTATACATGTACGTAGATTAAGATAGATTTATTTTAAATGATTTACTTTTAAAGCATTTCTCGAAAGTTGTACAGGGTAATGAGTTGTAGCTGTCAGCAGTTAGAACTTTGAATCAGGTGCTGACATACACACACCATAAGAAAATAAAATAAATTATGTAAAGTACAAAACATGTAATTTGAGCGCCACAATATAAAAATTGTTTTGGCCTTTTGAGTCTTAAGACACGCATTTAAAGCGATTACTCCCCTAAACCCTGAAAAAGTCTACCTAATTGCATTAAGAATATTAAAAACTCCACATTTTTAGACAAAAAAAGGTAATTTAAATTATTCAAAGTCTGCAGAAATTGATATTTTGACTGCGTAATGAACATTCAACTTCAAGTATCTGTGAATCCCTATTATATAAACCTCTTGTATCTCTCCACATGGACACTCTCGAATTAGTCCCAAAGATTACGTATTAAAATACATAAAATATACAGACAGACAACCAATTACTTGGCCACGTTGGTTGCTAAGTACTTGGTCCGCAATATCTGTTGTCTTAAAGGTAAT